AGTATGAGTAAAAAAGATTGAATACCCTGAATTTGTACAAAATGAACAACATGACAGCAATGTAAATGAAGGTAAATTTGGTGATCCTGTTGTTGGGTAAACATGAAATTGATTGTGATACTGGTGCCACATTCCCAGATGTAGAGACCATGTTCAATGAATTGAATGAATCTCAGGAAGATGTTGATGAATCTGCTCAACCCAATGAAAAAGATGAAATTGCTATTAATGAACCATGCATGGCCATTTGGGACAATGATAATGGAAGAGACTGGAGTGTTGATATGACTTGAGAAAAAAATTGACATGGATGAATACCTGATTGACTGTCTTGAATGTATGCCAAATGACAAGATGAAGAAACTGTGACGATACCCAGCCAAAGTAGATCAACAGAAGACATTAAAGATTTAAATTCTCCTATGCAATGTGATTGGATTATAGGACTTAACAAAAAGTACATCAGTATTTGTTTTGCATAACAATGATGTTATCAATAAATTATTTAAATCATACTGTTAATGAGTTGATAAGCTTGTTTCATATTGATATTTGTTTAGAAATTTGGACCATTTTTACACCTTTTTAACCACAGCTAAACAGTCTCATAGAATTAAGTTCTATCATTGGACATTATATCAGTTATTTTCTGAACTTTTGGCAATTCAGACTAATTTTAGCAGATTTTGACTGAATTCCTTCATTTTCAAGCTTTTTCAAAGGAGTTATGACATATGTAAAATTTAATACATAATTGTTTTAAGATATATCAGTAGAATACCAGTCTGATAGTGTGTCTCGATAGAATGTAATGTTGAAGTATTTGGTGATTTCAATTCAAAATAGTCAATTTTGTTTCCTGAAATTTGGTCTATTTCTGCACCAAAATACCCTATTATTTTGGAAATTAATGTGCAGGCTCAATATTATGTACGTAGAACTATGAATTTCATCATTTGAATCATTTTGGTGAAGATTTGTTGTTGAATATTGATATTATTTGGAATACGTTGTCATTTTTAGTGATTTTGGGGGACCCCGGGCAGGTCTGGCTATGTTTCGGTTTGGCTCCATCCCAATTTTTAAAAATTTTCAAAAAGTTGGCCCATTTCCTTCTATTTGGACACAAATGAGTGGAATAAAACACTTCCCCACTTTTTTTTTTTTTTTTTTTTTAAATTTGGTCACTATAGCCCACCCCTATTAAAAAGTAGAATTCAATGAATTGAAGCCACTGAATTTTTGTAATGTTCTACCCAAAATTTAATTAAACAAATTTCAGTAATTACTCGGAATTAAAAATCAGAAAGTAAGAGTTTCAGAAATGAATCCAAGAGTTATTTATAGAACAGCTATTTATATTATTTACCGTTGGGCTAATGTCCTTATCTTCATTGTCACTGTCATAATATTTTGACTGTTGTGTCTTCTTTGGGTGTCTGTAGATCTGCGTAATCTTCAGGGAATTTCAAACTAAGCCATTTATTTTATCTATGATAGTATATTGCTCTTATTCCATTGCCCATGTCTAAGGATATCTCATCTTGTCTTTTATTATTACTGCTCAGTTATTGCTAGTCCTGTTTCTATTGAGCCTGAGTCCATGCTACCCAACCCAGGGATTGAACTCACAATTACTATAGTACCAAATTTACAAACCAATACTTTAATCCACTAGGCTTTTGTCCTGTGGAACAATCTTGATGCTAAAACCTGAAGCCTAATGTCCATTTTCTGCCTTGATGTAATGCATGACCTCTCCTATAACTGCTTCTCTTTCTAACTGCTGTTGCTGCTGAGGCTTTGCTATAAAGCTTGGGTCTCTTTGCCACAGTTTCTCTCTCCTTCTTCATTAACAGCTCTCATATGATATTTATTTCTATGCTAGGTCTATTAAAGAGCTTTTATATATTTGCTAATTCCTTCAAACATCTGATTTCTCAATGTTCTTTGTCTTGTATTTACTTCATTCCACATGGGCTGGTAACCATCTTTTATACCTCCATACATTATCAGCTATGCCTAATTTCATTGTCTCACTTAATTACAGCTTTTCAATATTTTCCAGCCTTATTTTAGAGGGTTGGCTGGTTTCATCTTTGTATTCTTTCATATAACTGCAAAGATATTGAATATACACAGTTCTTGGTCATGTTTGCCTCAGTGTTAAGCTTGACTTGGCAGAGATTTCTCCATAAGATTGAGCCACTCCTGAATGTTGTACTGATGTATTTTTTTTTTGAACAAGCTCTTGACATAAGGAAAAATAGACCATGGCAGTTTTCCAATCCCTCACCTCCTTGACTGTTCTGTTTATGCCTGCAGAAGTTGATGTTATTCTGAAGGAGACATCTGTTGTTTCCCATTGGTATATATCTAAATCGTCACTTATGATATTTGCATGGTGTTGTAAGCATCAGACAATCCTTTTCTTAACACTGTATGGATGGTGGAAATTGAAGTTAAGGTCTGGTCTTGTGAAAGTTGGTTTGTGGCATATGGATGTCTTGAACCCATTCTTTGAGTTATTAGTACATCCAGGAAGGCTAGCTGATTTTTGTTTTCCTTTTCCATTGTTATTTTACTGAAACCTGCAGTATTTCTAGTTTCCTGGTAAGGCAAGAGTGTGACAATATTTAACATGGCGTATGGACGAAATGGGTTAAAACAAAACGATTTTAAGTTTTTGTCAGAAAGAGAATTATTTTCCCAGGATATGGGAACAGATGTATGAATTTTGTTGAAAAAGTTACACAATGTGATTCAGCTAAAAAACAGCTGGCAGGTCGGGGGCCAGAGGTTAAAGTCGTCTGCTGAAAGGTGTCAATGGGAAATTTTGTCAGCCAAAATTTCCCTGAGAAAGAAAAAATTAAAAGCAGATGACGTCAGAAAGGCTGACATCAGATAATGGCTCCTCCCGAAGGAGGAGGGGATCTTCCATAATTGGAAATGTGAAATAGAAAATGAAAGAAAATGACTGATTGAATTTTGGGAGATCTGCATAAAACCCACCTATTCACCCGCACCACACCAGTTGAAAGGACACCCATAAATACAAGTGCCCACGTGGACCAAAGTTAGTTGAGGCCAACCAGTTGCAGTAGCCGTTGCAGTCGCGACCGGGGGTTAAGAGATTTCTGATATAACACTGCTTGCCAACCTGATGAAAAGAATAATAATATTAATTATTCACTAAAGGAAGACTCCGACAAAATCCTTGTGTCATACTGGAAAGTACAAATCACAGTACTTGAAGATAAATCCAGTTGTCCAGTCTGGCCACTCTTTAAAGAAGCAACCCGCAATTTTCGTTCTGTCACCAATTATTAGAACAGTTTGGGAAAAGAAGAAAAAGAACAAAGAAGAAAAGAACTGTAAAATATTATTTTTTGTTATTTTGATATAAACATAATATTGTGACTTATTTGGGCGTCGTCCATTTTATTTTTTCAATTTTGTATGCACATGTTCAACTCCTTGTTTTAGCGTGGTTGAGATACACCAGTGGAAATTCAGCTTGACTCTCTTAAGATCAAAATCACAATGTGGATAAGAGAGGTCACAGTTGAAGAGGTCAACTTGCTGTGTCAAATGCCGTCAATGACCGAGGAGTGGGCTGGCGGCTTGTTCTCTGAACGATCCTGACCAAGCGAGCAGACGGGGATTGACCCTGAACACCGTCATACCTGATGGCCAAAGCAGACCAGACCCTAAACAACGTTGTATTTGAAGGCCGAGACCAGGCCGTGGCCCTGAACACCGTCATAAGAGTAGAGTGGTCTTATCTATGTATCTTAGCCGTAAGTTGGCTTTAGTGGTGTTCTTAAAGCCAGTTCCTCAAAGCATTCTATGTATAACTTCACCAACAATGGTGTTAACATCAACTCCATAACCAAGCCTTCCTCTTACTGGTATATATGAGACTAAGTTGGAAGAATGTTGCCAATACACCAGGGCTTGAAATTAACATCATCTCAAGGATGATACAAAATTTTAAACGAAAATTCTATTACATTTATTCTAAAAGCAAGCAATTTCTTAAAATAAAAAATTCTAACGTCACAAATAGTGACAGGCTTTTATTCTAAAAGCAAGAAATTTCTTAAAATAAAACGTTTTAACTTTTCACCAATAGTAATAAATAATAAATAGAACATTCACGCACAAACTTGATTGTTTCTTTTTAAACTAATGAATGAAACCTGAATGAAAAATGAAGGTCGAAGGACATCAATTTAGATATTTGTTTTATTTACTTTAAATTTGAAGAACATTATGATCTAATTGTAATAACGAATTTTGCTTTAATAAAACAAAGCAAGAAAATTATGTTTTTATTATTTATACTGAGACTATTGTCTCCATCTTTGTTGTTGTTATCACAATATTTTGGCCATTGTACTTTCTGGCCTTCATCAGGTACTAGTTGAGCCCAGTAACTGTCAGAGCATTTTTAAATGAACCCTTCATTTAAACTACAAGAGTAGATTGTTTTTGTTCCACTGATCATGTCTAGAGATACTTTGTCTATTTCTTATTTCTTATTGTTCGGTTATTACTCCTCCTGTTTCCATTTAGTCCAAGCTTGCACTGCCTAGCTCACGATTGCTATGTTACTAAAATCACAAACCAACCGCTTAATCCACTAGGTTACTGTCCCATGGGACTAGGATTTGGCAAAAATTGAGCAGTACTAAATAACAACTAGTTGAGATATACCTAGATAGCAAAAGAACAAGAATTTACCCTTCACCATAGATAAAAGATTCAGTCCAAAATTCCCTGAAGGTTACCAGGATGGACTAGCATCTGATGAAGGCCAGAGAGTAAAACAGCTGAAATGTTGTGATAACAACAAAGATGAGGAAAATAGTCTGTATGCAAATAATAACTTATCCCAGAAATTCAAAGAGAGAAATCTTGACTATTTTTTGATTTCTGTTTGCTTGATGCATTGATTAATAATGATTATTAATCAGGATTTAATTAAAGTCAAGGCTTACAGTCATATCATGTTGAAAAACCAGTTCCCTTACAATCACTGAATTTAAGCAATGTTGATCCTGGTCAGTACCTAGATGGGTGACTGCTTGAGAATACCAGGTGCTGTAAGCATGGATGTGTTGGTTGTGTAATGGATAATGGCTCAGAGAGCTGAGTTCAAATTCTGGTCAAGTTTGAAAATATGCCTGGAATTCACCTTTTCTCCCACAGCTATGGGTTAATTAGTAAAAATTGTATCACTAAAATCATTATTATCTTAAAAAAAAAAAAGATAAAATAAAATTGTATATAAAATATTTACATTTCAGCATTAAATAACCCATAGAGGTGTTGATATACCGCTAAACAAAAACCGAAAATAATTAAAGTCCATTTATAATTCATGAAATATTCACTTACTTTATTACAAAACATGAAGTTTCTTTTCCTTCAAAAAAATTTCAAAGCAGTGTTTAAACTCTAAGGAAAAGAGTCTTTTCCCTTTGACTAGAAACTAAACTTCAGAACCATTGTTTTGACAATGCCACCCCCACTTCCTACAATCTACATCAACAAACATTAGTCACAATTAACTATATATTATCGTGATCACCTCTTTTCTCTAGAATTGTACACAATAGTATTAAAAGGTGCATATTCTTTCTGTAAATTTTCTCTGTATCATAAATGCTCTATGAAGAAATAGGCATTCATGTTATTTAATGTTTGGCACAAGGTCACAATATAAGGCACCTAGTAAAGATCAAACTGATTAATCTAAATGACTAGCTTACTATTACTCTATTGCAGGTACCAAATGCAAGCTGTATATAGTCTCTGTATAAGAAATATGATTTGGACTTTTTTCTTCAACAATATTGACCCAAAAGATGAATAACTTCAACTTGATATATTCTTTCTCTGGATTAAAATTTATTCAGGGATCATTTTATCTCTTTAAAAAATATCCAGGATCAATTAATTCAAATATCAATTTCTTTGCCCTAGTTTCAGCTAACCTTATTTTATGAAAAATAACATTAACTATTCAATATAACAGTCATATTATCTTTCATTTCAATGTGAACTTGAATCGATTTCTAGCCTAACAATATCTAGGTTATAAAGATTCAAGTAGAATTTCTAATAAAGTATTGCCAACCATTAATAATTTTTGACTACTATTTAAGTAATCTTAATTTCAATTGCTTTTCATTATAACTACTCAGACCATCATTCTATAACTATTAGTAAACATAGATCTGAAATAACCATAGAATGATGGTCTGTGTAGAAAGCAACTGAAATTAAGATGAAAGAAATACTAGTGAAAAAAATCAATAATGATTAACAAGGTTTCATCTAATTCAAGATACCCCTTTGTATTTTTTGTGGAGTGAGTAGCCATAGTCAAATGCAAAATAAAAAACAGAAATTTTCAACAGAATTAACAAAGTTTTCAAAAAAAAAAAAGAAAGAAAAAGGAACAGGTCAAAAAATGAAATATCAAGGAAACAATATATACAAGGCAAATTAATAATAAGGCAAAAAGTTCACAAACTAAGAATTGGCATGGACACACAAATGTAAATTTCGGAAAGTAAATGTAGCATTCTCTTTTCTAGACAAGGTAGATCGGGACAGAGTCATATCAAACTGCAAACTGACCTTTTTTATTGGCTAAGAATAATCCCAGCATGCATTTGTGTGCTTTTTCCTGTAAAAGGGGAGGGGCAAGTGTTCTGCAGTCTTTCCTGTTGCACTGAAACCAACATTTTTATTGAACCTAGATACAAAATAAGCCAATTTAGTCTAGAGTATATCTTTAAATGATATGAAAAATAAGAATAACAATGGATATTTGTAAGAAAAATAATATATATACCTAATATACTTACCATTTCTGAAGGAATGAGCACTTGTGTAATTCCCTGCCAGTCACGGAGTATCATAAATTGGTTCAATCTTTTATACTGCAACCAGCCACAGAGTACAACTGATTTACCAACATCATGTTCTCGTAGTTCTCCACAAGTATGACTGCGTTTTAAGAAACTACTAATGGTACCTACAATGTTAAATTAATTAACAATTTTTGAGAATATTCTTGTTAACAGACTGCGGTTGTTTTAATGGGATCTACATACAAAATTTGTTATATTTGGTGATACAGAGGGGGGGAGTAAATTTATAAAATATGTCCATTTTGAAAAATTTTCAACATTAACACTTTGAACTGGAATTCCTTATTGGGTGCAGGATGACTCATCACCACCAACTCAATGCTGCTGACACAACTCCAGAACAACTCACCACCAGCCTACTCAATGTGATGACAACTCATCTCCAGAACAACTCAGCACCAGCCTACTCAATGCGATGACAACTCAATGACATGCAAACTATGACATTTTTCGTAGACTTTTTTAAAAACAAATAAAAGTAATTTATTGAGGAATGTTTTTAATACATGACTTTATTTTTAGCTTAAAAACTTATTGAAAATTGTATGCAATTCCCCTGAAATATTTAATTGGAGATCATTGTGAAAAAGAAGAAACAATCTGCAAAATTCTTTCATCTGCCTTCATCAATTTAGTGGGAGGGGAATGACCTCCAAATAATTGCTTGAAAAATGCATCTCAGTTTCTTTGCACCTTTTGTAGCCCTGTAATAAATCTCCATATATTGTGGGATGCTCCATCCCAAGCTTTGTGTGCAGTCTTCTATTGGCTGCTTAAACATGGTTATTTGATCTTGAAAATTAAACACCAGTCAGCCAAATAGGCTATTGTGTCTAATAAATCAGTAAGACAAACAACCAAACTTTCAAAATCTCTGACTTAAAGCTGATCTAAGAGATGTGCAACACTAGGACAGCCAACACTGGTCTGAATCTATGAATTTGACACCAGCGTTGAGTTATCCTAACACTGAGTAGGTTGATGACAAGTTGTCCTGATGTTGACTTGTCACGGAGATAAAATGTCCCATCTCATTTTTTATTTTCCCTTGGTTTTATTGCTTGAGTTTTTGTTTGAAGTTTTGAGATGACATGCTATTATCATGATACAAAGTTTCTTTCAGACTAGCATCCTCACCTTAGTTGTTTTTATCAATGTTTTAGTAACTGTATCCTTACGTGTCTGTTGCATTAATAAACGCCATAGAATTTTGAAAAGTACACTTTATTTCATCAAACTAAAATAGATTGTTTTCATTCTGTCTATATTTCTGAAATGAGATATTGTAACTATTTATATTGTTCAAATTCTTGTTTTCATCTTTGTTGCCATATTCACGTTTTGGCCCAGTGGATAGAAGCATTGGTTGAAGTAATCCCATGACTTGACCTAAATAGTTGTGAGTTCAATACTTGGTCACAGTAGAGATGAACTAAAATTTGGAGAGTTGAGTTACTAAAAGGGAAATAACTGAAACTGATACTGAGCTATCCAGAAGAGGCATGGCATGTGGAAGTAGAACAATCTGCCCCAGTGGACAAAACAAAAGGGTTCAGTTTAAAATTCCATTCACCTGAAGAAGGCCAGAGTGTACAATGGCCAAAACCTTGCGAATATGACAAAGATGAGGAGAACAATCTGAACAATGTAAATAGTGTATATTGTTTTCATTCTTTGCAGTTTGTCATATTACCTGAAGTTAAATAGGCATGATGTTTTGTCTGCTTTGCATGTAGGCAGTCAATTGCAATGTGGAAAGTGTACATGTGTGAGTGTGAGCCTTAATATATCATTGGCTGATGATGGGTAATTAAGGACTCACTTGAAGAGACAGTTTACTGCCAGCAGTCATGTAGAGAAGCTCAGAAGTGGCTATGATCTATGATGGACTGTGTGTTCCACAATTTATGGTGCTTGAGTGAGTTACTCTTCTTTGCTCAGCAGTGAATCTGTTTTGATGTTGATGAATCAACATGTTTCCAGGAACACATATCTGGTGTCCTTCCTTGGGATTTCTGAACTTCCCAATTTCCTTATACTGTCTCCAGTAGAACAATAAATTGCCTGATCCAGTGTATAAAAGGAACCACTGACTGAGACAGTTATTCAACAGAAAGTTATTAAGCAAAAGAGAACTTATTATTATATGATTTGCTGCAGGAAAATATGCCCAAAAGGTTGATTAACAATGTCAAGGATATTTTCCTGAAAGTTTAGAAACAATAAAAGTAAAATAATCTTTCAATGGCAGTAGATAGGTTCACCTATCATCCAATTCACACTCCTGCCTTGTATTTTGAATAGGAATAGAGGCTTGTCCCTTTATTTCACGTCTAAGATTGGGTTTCCAGTTCCTTCTAGTCTTTTCATTCTCTTTAACTTCCAGTAGTCCCTTCTACCTTAGTGGCATTATTGCCTTGCTTAGTGTGAATTGAAAAAATAAAAAAGGGGCAAAAGTGAGTAAATCAGTTAAATTACAAGCAATGTGATCTCAAACAAAAACAAACCAGTTACTGAAGAATGATGCAGAATTCTTATAGTAAAAACTAACCATTTCCAAAAAAAATATTCATGACCTAAAGAGAGTATTTATGAAAAGGATTTATCTAGCTTCTTATTGGTTAAAAATATGATGAAACTTAAATTCTTGTACATTGTGATCCACATTTTACACATACTATATGCTCAAACTAGATAACATTATGTTGTCTGCTGCACATGTATTTGATCTGGACATTACACACTTTCATCAAACTGAAAGAATAATGATTTGATTACTGTATTTTCTGGCTTGCAAGGCACACATTTTTTCCTAAAAAATACCCTGAAAAATAAGTATGCATCTGCCAAGATGAATGTAAGGCAACGTCCAGGCTCAAGTAAGCTTGGGCAGTTACCTAATTGGCATGACTGATAGGAATGTGGATTTGTAAGTTGAGTCATTACACTATAATGTTAGCTATCTAATTCAGTCTTTTATATGATGTAACCTCAGTACTTAGCTGTTACAAGTATTTTCAAGACTATAAACCTTCCAGGAGCTGAGCCACAAGCTTAAAGATGATCTGTTTACAAGCAATAGTAGGATCCTTTCTGCTCTTGAGTAGTATGTCATTGCCATACAAACAAAATTGGATGAGTGATTAATGTAAACAATACATGGCATCTATGTGAGGGACACATGGTGAAAGTGTTATTGTATGAGAATGACTTATTTTTTCTTAGAAATTTTTTTCCAATATAAGGGTGTGTCCCAAGCTGCAGCGTCTTGTAACCTGGAAAATATGGTATTCTATAAATTAGTTACACAAGTATCTCTTATTTTTGTTCTTTTGAGTATTAACAAATTTTATTAACTATTTTTTTATTTAATCTTTTACTTTTTTTTTTAAATAGAAATAGATTCATCTATAGTTTCACATTCCCCCCCTCCAGTTTGTAGCAGGAGTAGAAGATTATCTATTTTTTTTTTTTTTTTTTTTTAAATGAAACTATTTCATAATTCCTATTATTTTATTACTAGTTTTTCTCCATCTTGCATTTTATACAACACTCTGGATTGATGCATTCTTTGATCACAAAAGCAAACAATTCAAAATCAAAAGCAAACAATTCAAAATCAGAAATGAAGTAGAATCCAATAAAATATGAACTTGTAGCCAACATCCTTCCTTAACAACTTCAATCACAAATGTCAGGTGATTAAGCAAAGCACAAATTCCCTCTGACCCCACCCATTCTTTTTTGTTTCATTTTATTAACTATTATTAATAGTTAATAAAATGAAACAAAAAATTATTATTATTATTAATAGTAGGTACAGCCAAAGATTCACTAAAAAAAAAAAAAAAAAAAAAAAAAAAAAAGCATACATGATATAAAAATATCCCAAACTTTTTAATCCAGTTTAGAACCTTCAAAGTTTTGGTTACAAATTGTTTTTCTTGTGTCAGCAGGTGACCATAAATTATTATAGGAAATTTGTGTCTTTTTTCAGTGAAAAATACTTTGATTTGGAAATTCTTGCAAACATCAGATAATTGTTTAATTAAACTTTTAGGACTTATTCATAAATGAATTAAATTATTTTCAAAATGTTTCCTTTTTAGAAAATTTTGTAAAAATATTTTTTTATATCTTTTATCCCCCATTTATTTAATTTTATGAACTTTTGAAAAATTCATTTTTTTTGTAGTTTAATGTTTATATTAGTTATATACACAATTCTTTGGAAAATTTAATTCATCAATTTTTTTTTTTTTGTAAAATAGGACTGCCAGTTGCAGAAAATCTGCTCTGAATCATAAAATAAAAAAATGCAATAAACCTAAGACATTATTCAATTAGAAAAGCTTTTAATTGCTTTTATAAATATAGACACTAAGTAAAAAAAATTTAATGAATAATGAATTTTTATTTTTTACAAAAACTGTTTCCATTTTTTTAAAAATTTTAATTAGAATAATCTACAAATTTTGTGTTAATTTATGATATTGTAAAACTATATTTACAATATTTACATTTACTAATCACTAAATGGAATAGCTTACTATATAATTCAACAAACCTCTGAAATTTTAAAGATTTTGAAATTTTCTTCGTGTATAAACATAGCAATTTTTGTAAATATGGATGTCCATACACAACATTATCCGAACAAAATGAGTGATAAAATTTACTGGTAATTTTCTAACAATTCTTCCTCAACAAGCGTCTTCGTAAGTAAGACTATAAATATTTTCCTAGATTATTTAGATTACCGGGTAGTTAAAAAAATTATATATAAAAAAATAACAAACATTCATGTTATCCATTATTGTTACCGTAATTATCAGGTTTCGAAAAAATTAAAAAAAAAAACTCTCGAAAAAGTTATCAATACCTCATAAAAACACCCACCCCAGTGTCAAAAATGCTTTTCTGCGATATTTTAAACAAAAGTAAACTAAAAATAAGTGATATTTGTTCCAAATCAGGTTAATAAAACTTTTTTCGGCTATCTTCTTCTTTTTTTTTTTTTAAAAAAAAAAAAAAAAAAAAAAAATTCACTGTTTACTTTTGCTGTCGAAGAAGAGTATATTAATCCAGCCAGAACACTGTTGTGAAAAAAAAAAGCACTAAGAAGTGAATTAACAATAACGGGCCTTCTCAGGGTTTAAAAATGAATTTAATAAAATTATTAAAATCTACATTTGTTTTTGATAGCTTTCTTATAGTTAAAGATTCTTTCAACATCTAGAAGAAAATTAATGTTAGTAAAAAATGTGGAAAAACCGAATGTATTTTAAAATATGGCAAACAAATTCATATTTATTACCAAATATAAAAAGGAATCCCATATTTTGGTAAGTATTTAGCATTATCGCCCTTGTTAAGATTTTTTTTTTTTAACTAGGAAATAGTAAATAGTCAGATATTTTGCAAATTAATAACTAGTTTTTAAGGTAAAATTAAAATTTATTTTTATAAACTGCAAGTAATGATGAAGATCATAACAAACACGCAAACCAAATTTGCTTAAAACAGTGTAAATAGACGATCTTTATTTTTTGGCTTTGCTGTTTAGTTCTGTGCGTACAAATTGTTAAAAAAAAAGAAGCAATTTGTTACTTAGGCGGTAAATATAAACTACTTTAAATTCAAAATAAAATGATACACATCTGTAATGTTTTACAATAGCAAAAATATGATTTTTTAAATATTTTAATTTACTAAATAATTCCAAAGAATCCTAAATAACCCTTTTTGACGAGTTCTTGCCCTTTTTTACGACAATGTGCTGAAAAGTTGTTGGTGCCATCAACAAACCCTTTCTTTGGTTTTTTTCGTTAGATTTTGGAAGTGGATCGAATAGAGAACTCTTTAGCATCTCTCATATTTCTTTTAACTTTATTTCTTTTATTGTTATTAGGTAATAAGTTCATTAAATTACAAATAGATTTATTCCGTTTAATAGTGGATCATAAAAAATATACCTTGCGCAAAAAGGCTCTTAAAATTCTAGTGTAAACAAACACTAGTTTTTAAATCACTTCAATGAGGAAAAAATGATTAGATTCAACCCGTGACTAAAGTAGAATTCTATCGAAATTGAATTTTTGCAATTGTTCAATATTTGGTTATTTTTTTTTTTTTTAAACGAGTTCATAAAACTTGTGTTCTTGTCCACAATTAAAAAGAGACGTGATAATTCCGTTCAATTTTTATTTTTTAGTTTAACAAAAAATAAAACAAAAATAATTCTGCCGTGTTTACTACTGCTATTTTTAGAGGATTCTCTTTTTGCAAACATCCTTATTCCTTCCAAGAAGAAGAAAAAATAACTAAACGAGTAAAAAGAAAGAAAAAAAAAACAATTGGAAGGCAACATGTTTGGTCGAAATGAACCAATTTAAAAAGTACAAAAATAAATTTCTAAAAGTAAAATTGAAATACCGGGTAACGAGGAGAAAAGGGATTTTTACTTCATACTCACAGTTAAATTTGGGTATTTTATTGACCAATTGTTAATTAAAAATTTAGTTTTCTGAAGAAAAAAAATCGTCATAAAATATCGAATCTTAAATTAAACCAAAATAATTATTTCGATCCTTCATGACTCAGAAAAAAAAAACAATCAGGCTTAACAAGGCCGCTACATGCCGCCTCATCGCTAAGAATTTCATTACAAATCTAAAATAAAAATCCGAATGCAATTCTAAAAAAAAAAAAAAAACGATGAAAAACCGTTCAGATATATATATACGTTCTATCTCATTTTTCTGATATGTGAACGAATTTTACCATTCACTGGGATCGAACTTGCAATCAGCTGTGCATGCGTGTTTTTTTATACACAACTTTCATACACCATCGTGGTCTGCTAAGATCAACAATTGTTCCACGGCTACAGTTCATTTTGTGGCTCATTCTGATTAATAGAAGCAAGCTTTCAAAAATAATTTTACACACGCAGATACTTACGGGCTTTATTTAAATGTATAAATGAGTGACCATTCATCAAGTTAAGTAATTTTAACTTGACAAATGGTTTAAGAAGGAGACATTTCGCACGTCCCGCCATGCTGTTTCATTCAAGGCAGTTCCAAAAAGAGAAGTCGCTGACTTGTGGATTGGGATCAAATTATTTTTTGTGTACGCAAAATCATTTGTATGGAGACGACTATTATAATATGGAAAATGTTATACTCAGAAAATTTGTCCATTTATTATTCAGTAAAACAAAATATTAACTGTAAGTAAATTATATGTATACTTTCATTTTCGTTTCGGCGTAGATATTTATATTTTTTCTTTGACCCAATGACGGAATAGAACTACTTACATGACGAGAGAGAGAAGGGAGGCTGGTGAAAGTCCGTCCTTATTGCAAGATTGTGTTTTTAATTTACAGGCTTAAACCTCGTGGAAAACAGAGATATCAGCCAAAGTTTGGTACTCAAACTGGTTGTTTTAGATTTGTACCAGTATTATAGTTCTATGTTTATATTCCACAAGGCTCCGTGTTTCGCTGTGAACAGGTCGTCACTAGAAAAAACTGACACATCAGACGGTGGCATTTCCTTTTCCTTCGCCCACACACAACTCTGCAGCCGAATATTGAATAATAGTAAATAATGATAACAATAATATGGCCAGGATGTCACAAACTTGTTTAAGTCAGCCTACGTGATTATTAGTCTAAATGAAAATTGTTTTGTTGTGCCTTTCTGGTCTTGCACACAGGACCTGCGATTACGTGGAGTGTTCATCATTTTTAAAAATCCAGGTCTAAACAGACGGTCAATTTAAGATTCCTTTTATTTAGTGTTTTGATAATTTTCTTACTAGCCAGACTCGTATAGAGAAATATTAATTTTAAATATCTATATTTTAACATAGATTCTCTTCTTTTATTTACAATGCAAACGTTTTTTCCCCAAATCTTAAATTCCAGATGGTTTGTTCATCACCATCGTTAAAAAGTAGTTACTAGTGTCTACTTAGTGCTTTTCTTTTTCTTCTTTTCACTACAACACAAAAAGATGACATACCACGACAGAAACCATCAACCCACTTGTCTAAGAAGAAAATACACTCATAATCTTTTATAATAAGTCTACAGAACGATCTGAAATTCAAGCATGTCGCTATTTCGGAAACTTTTGGGGAGCAATGAACCCCTTAAACCAGCCACACCACCCGGACACCAACCCATGGGGGCCCAGTTGCAGCGAAAATTTGCCAAAGGAGTTCAATATAACAGTAAGTATTTTTGTTTTAACAAATTTGACACTAACAAAAGATCTGCTCATTAAAAATAACTTATCTTTGCTTATTCTAATTCTTTTAAGCGTAAAAATGTTTATCGATCTAAAAAAATGTAGCAACAGCGCTTTGTTTTTTCATTTATTAAAAGTAAAACCCGATCGTCACATGTAAGTTTTATTTTCAGCTTGGATTCGCTTATGTGTGTTTATATTTATATCGCTTTGTATAAATTAAAAAATATGATGCCAGTAAAATTGACTTAGCATAAAGAAATATCAGTAATACTTTTTTGTAATTTAAATATTTTTATTTCATTTTAAAATTAAAGGAAATAAAGTTGATAATGCAACAGTCAAAGAATATTATTGTCGCAAATTTCATAAAATTTTGAATGCGTTTTTTTTTTTTTTTTCTTAAGAAGGCACATAATTGGCATAAATCACCCTTAATTTTTTTTATTCAGAATCTCTTATAAACAACAAAAAAAAAACAACAAAAAAAAAAACAACAAAAAAACAGGAAGGGCCTCTCGCCGTAGAGTATCGTAATCTTGCTCGGCTAGTGAATTCGATCCTCGTTGAGTGCTCGGCATTTGTGTCCTTGTACCAAGTTAAGCGGGCTAAATAAATAAAAAAAAAAAAAGCATGCGTAACTTCAATAAATTATTGTCTTGAAATACACTTAATAAGATAATAAAAAAATAAAACATCTATTTATTTTGAGGGTGGTTATCTTGTTCTTTCTTGACAATCACAGATTTTACAAGTAGAATATTGACTGATCATACGTACAAACCGTTAGTCACTAAATACACTAAGTAAGTGACTACAGTTATTTGGAATCACTTCGATTTTTATTCGAGATTACATTTGATTAGCTATAATACACGTTTTGCTTTTGAACATGAGTTTATTTTCTCGGTTTCCACCACTTATTCAATATTCATGTAATTAGTAAGTAAAAGGGTTAGTCATAATAACAATAATAATAATGATAATAATTATTATCATTATTATTCAAGCTGCTCTTCTTCACCAAAACCTCATAAAATACACATTTGCCTCATATTTTGGTCTAATGCTCATTTCTCATCAATGAAAAAAAGTCAACACAAGAAGAGGAAGTAAAAAAAGCAAATAGGTACTCAACTCAAATACTGTTTATTTTTTTTTTTTTAAATGATAAAAAATGAAGAGTTTCTATTTTTTTAATCCTTCCAATAAAAATGTATGCGTGCAATAAATTTAAATTAATAAATGAATTACCAAAAAGTGCTAGAGATTATTATTAACCTTTTTTTGAAAGTTGACTTTTTTTTTTTTTTAGTATGAAATCATAGTTTCCTTTCAACAGGTTATATTTTTAATTTTATAAGAATATTTTAATTAATAAGAACTCTAATCACAAAAGAAAAACCTCTTGGTTGCTAGTTTGTGTTTCTAATTAATTACCAAGTTTGGAAGATTATATTGTACTGTAAATCATGTGTTTTTTATTTCATAATGGAAACTGCTTCAATGGAAATAAGTAATAATCTCTAAAAATCAATGAAACTGGCTACTTTGTTCAATAATCTTACTAACTAATGTTGTTTTTTTTGTTTGTTTTTTTATAAAATAATTGTAGAAATATAAAGACTAAAAAGAGATGTTAAAAAACTTTTGTCTTGAGTTTTGTTTGTAATTATATTTTGGTCGCATAGCGGTTTTCCTCGAATTTTTCTCGCTCTTGTAATTTAACTTCTAATAATTTCTGATTTTTTTTTTTGTTTTTTTATATTTTCCTTCTCACTGATGTTATTTCAGAAAAATGTATATCTGGGGTTTTAAGGCAGTCACAAATTGATGTATTTTTTTGTGTTCGGCAACAAATTGGATTTAAAAAATATTTCCATTATCTAATTTTGTAGACTATGAAAAAGATTTAGCAAATTGAGATGTGAAGATTAATTGTAAAACCAAATTCTGAAAAAAAAAAAAATGACATCTTTCAGCTAATATGGAAAAACATTTGTTTGGAGCTTTTTTTTTTAAGGGTGATAGATTTTTGGCCAAATTTTTGCATTTGTCCAAAACCGAACACACAAAAAAGTGAATTAAAACAAAAGGAAAAAATAACTCTTTCTAAGCAAAGTCTTAGAGATCTTTTCTTTTATCAATAATTGGTTGGTGCACTAGTCTAACATTTTTAGACTGAAAGGAACCAAGGAACACATTTTTTAATTTGTAAATTAAACTCTGATCTATAGAGCTCTTAAAGTACAATTAGCTTGTGTGCAAGTTTATTTCTTTAAAAATAAGTGTTTTCATTTCTTTGCTATATTCTTTTACAGAAAGACCCATTTCTTTTTATTTTATGTACCAATTGCTTCTTTTCTTTTTTGACCGCCCATCCTATTTTGATTCGTTTTCTTGTAAAGCTGTATGCACTTTTTATGTCTGTAGAAGTGTATTCAAGCTGATATTTTGATCTTCTAGGCCATGAAAAAGTTTGATTTCTTTAAGGAATCTGTTATCACTTCCAATTTCAATGGTCTTTGCAGTAGAAACACACTGCAAAAGTTTATCCATCTGTTGCATATTAAAAAAAAAAACCCAAAAAAACCCCATCTACCAGCATTTGTATTTGGAATCTTTCATCATGAATTTGTGCAAACACTCCTATGTTGATTTGTTGTTGTTGTTTTTTTTTTTTTTTTTTTTTTGCTTATAACTGAATTACCCCCTTAATGGGATATATCCCAAGGAAATTTATGTAAATAATCTCAGTTGGTTGTTATATAATAATATTGCTGAAATATTTTTGTCCCACTCCTAAAAAAACTTTGTATTTAGAAACACATTTTGCATATTCTTAAGAATCAGTGCATTTTGAAAGTCTCATTGACTTGTTAATATAAAAATTATACTAAAAAACTTTTTTTTGCAAAAGGTTTTATATTAAGTTCAAGAGACTTTGAATAAGTACTTAATTTGAGATGATAGTCTTAATAAAGTGCAAAACATTTGTATATTCAGTTCATAGAGCAAAGGAATGTAGACTAATAGGAAAGAAGTTTTAATGAAATGTAAAACATTTGTGTTGGAAATTAATGGGTGCAATATCGTAAAAAAAAAAATTTCCTCATTGCTAGATTTTTACATTATTCTATTTCAGATTACGTAACAATTCTTGTATTTTTTTAAGTTTTATCTCGTTGCTGGCATAGCCCGACTGGGGTTACCAGATTAGGTCAGCCAAGCACTACTAACATTTGAATTTCACTACTTATGACTTTTTAGGCTACTTTTAAAATAACTTCGGCTTACTTAAACTACTGATAAGAAATTCAATTTAAACTTTAGTATTGACCTTTCAAATGTCACTCAACTATGTTTTAAACACTGTTTTGTTATCTTATATTGTTGTTATTTTTCACTTTTGCATGACAACAGCAATATGGTAATAATAATCAAACCAGAAGTGATATTATTTGACTGCAAATGTGGCCTTCCTATGCTTCAAACCAAATCTTAGCAGAAAAGTCTCAACTACAATGACCTTTTGAAATTCAGTTTCTTTTTCTTGTAGACAATCGCATTAGCAGTACAGACCACAAATATATTGCCTCCAGTCTAATACTCTCCTTTGTCAACTGTGTATTCAAATATTTAAATTGAAGCATTTTGATTGGCTCACATAAACTCTATTTAAAAAAGTATTTAATTATAATGATTATATAAGGTAATAGGTAACATGGTAATATTCCTGTGATGGTAAATATGTAAGTACTATCTTTGTATCTATAAAAACCGAGGGAGTAACATATGTAGAGATCAGTACATCTATCAAGAGTGTTGCTTTCTGGTCCTCTTAAGATCAAAGTGTATTATCTGTGCATTGAAATGTTATACACATTGTTTGATGTATGTGGATTACCATTTAGAATATTAGCACATTGTTTTTGCCAGCAGGGTTAGGGTCACTCTGAATGTGATTTCATTTGCTGTACAAAATGTTTATCCTGCCACTGAAGGTGATTCTGATCCCTGAATAATAGTGTTTTGAATTTCATAGTTCTGTTTTCATATCCAGCTATGGCAACAGAAAACAAGTTTTAGTGAAATTAACAATAATGATACTGTAATTGAGAGGCCTTGAAAAAAATGCTGTGGAAACAAAAGTAATATTAATAATACTTAGTGCTAACCATTAAAACCATTTATTATTGCAAATTAACTTACAGTAAAAGTCATTATAAAAATAGAGCCAAAGCTCTTACTGACTCTCATACTATTTGTTATCACCGAGCCATACATACAAATGCATACTAGCATTAATAGTACTTGTATTAAATGTCATTGTTATGTAGGTTTGTGTTGTCTTTCTTTTGCAGCTTTTATAAATAGACAAGTGTGTGATGCACATCTGTTGTTGCTAATCAACTCTTTATGTAGGTCTTAATTGGCTTGAATTCAATGCACATAGCATTGCATACAATAAACCAGGTTCCCCTTGGGTACCATGGCATGAACTAATGGTTAGCAAGTTATTTTGCTTGATCTTTACTACTTAGTAGTGGATATGGATCCTCACTAAGTGCTACATACTTATGGCTTTGTGCCAAAACTAAGCTTAGTAAATAGCAATAAATCAGATCCTTTATCTGTGCAGTTCCTTAGGACATCCATATTGACTTGTATACTGTATGAACTGTTCATCATGTGGTGTTCCTTGAGTATTTTTATTATCTAATGAGGTTTATAATTTATCTTGTAAATCATGTTGGTGATATTCACTTGTCATGTAAAGTGTAATTCTTATAACAAAGTTTATACATTCAAATGTAAGTTAATCTAAAATTCTTTTTTGTAGAATTTTATCTGCAAATTTATTTAGTTAACACCTTTCTCAGTCTGACCAAGAGGGAATGTTTACATCAGTTCTTATGTTTAGTCATTTGATCAAATTTTAAGAAGTGGATTGAACTGAGGACTTTTCAGCACCACATCATA